AAATAAAGGAACCGATTCCGAAACTTAGCACACATCGTTCTAGACTGAATTTAGTACGCTGTGTAAATTTCGTGCAAATCGAAATATATTTAGGGACTTTGGTGCACCAATTACCTTAAATCGGACGAAAATATATACGGGAGCTATATCTAAATCTTAACCGATTTTTGTGAAACTTAGCACACATCATTCTAGGCTTAATTCAGTAAGTTGTGCTAAATTTCGTGCAAATCAAGAGCTAATTAGGGACTTTGGTGCACCAATTGCCTTAAATCGGACGAAAATATATATGGGAGCTATATTTAAATCTGAACAGATTTTCGCGGAACTTAGCACACATCATTCTAGACTTAATTCAGTACGCTGTGCCAAATTTCGTGTAAATCGAATGATATATAGGCACATTTGTGCACCATTTATTGTAAATCCGACGAAACTATATATGGGAGCTATATTTAAATCCGGACCGATTTGCACGAAACTTAGCACACATCATTCTAGACCTAATTCATTTCGCTGTGCCCAATTTCGTCCAAATCGAAAGATATATAGGTACACCATTTATATTAAATCGGACGAAAATATATATGGGAGCTATATCTAAATCTGAACAGATTTTCCCAATTTCAATAGGGGTCGTCCTTAGGTCAAATAAGTAACCTATTTCAATTTTCATCCAATTCGGATCATAAATTCGACCTGTACTTTGTTTACAATTTAACATGGACAGACAAACGGACAGACGGACGGACGGACAAGCATAAATCGACTTAGAAGGTGATTCTACGCATATTCTCAAAAGGAACCGTGTGTCTATCTCGTTTCCTTTTGCCTGTTACAAACATATGCACAAAGACATAATACTCTGTACCACAGTGTGGTGAAGGGTATAAAAATCTACGCCTATCTAGGCTATTTAAAAATATATTTGAAAAATCTACGCATATCTTGGCCCTTAAAATATATTTCTCGATGCTTATATACCCTTAAAAAATATTTTTAAAAAATAGACGCCTATCATGGCCATTAAAAAATCTACGCCTATCTAGACCCTTAAAAATCAACGCATATCTAGACCCTTTAAAAATCAACGCCTATTTAGACCCTTAAAAATCAACGCCAATCTTGACCCTTAAAAATCAACGCATATCTAGACCCTCAAAAATCAACGCCTATCTGTGCCCATAAAAATATTTTTAAAAAATCTACGCCTATATAGGCCCATAAAAATATTTTTAAAAAATCTACGCCTATGTAGGCCCTTAAAAATATTTTTAAAAACTCTACGCCTATCTAGGCTCTTAAAAAATCTGTGCCTATCTAGGCCCTTAGAAAATATTTTTAAAAAATCTACGCCTAGGCCTTGTTAGTACTTCATAAAAATATTTTTAATAATTCTCATTAGCTTCACTTATTGTCACACATATTCCGCAAAACTCTCAGACCAACTTCACCTTAATTAAAGTGACACACATCCACACACACACACTTAAGCAACCCGCTCAAAGCCATACAACCATATTTGATGTCATCATAATGAGGGAATGTAGGCAGGAAATACCTATGGCAATATTTTACACACATACTTGAACATAATTTAAATCTTCAACAAATACTTATATACAATTTGTATATAATACATGTATGTGTATACATACATTATACATCTCGTATTTACATACATTTCTCATTTAATTTTCTCTGTTTCACAGATACACCAATTTGCAAACATTTAGATCGTGTCATCTTAATTGGAGCCTCAAAGGATGAAACTGTCGAAGTTGCGTGTGAAATTCAAGCGGATCCACCACCAAGGTAAGCAAGCATTTTGTCACTTTGTTATATTTTAACATATACATGCGACATATGTATATGCATGTATGTGTGTGGATATACGTAAGGGTGTGTTCGTGTGTGTATATTTAAGATAAGTGTGCACATAAATATATTTAAGTGATGAAGAGAGAGAGAGACATTGACATTTTGGGAAAAATGATAAACAGTGTTGGAAATTTAAATAGGTACACTATGTCTCAAAATTTCGTAAAACAGAACATTAATAAATTTTCTAGTGGAAACCTGTATAAATTCTCCACACTGTTAACCATAAAATTTATACACAGTACACACCTTTTCCACCATAAATTTTAGGGCCAACCCGCCCTCCCCCAAACAATTGCCAGCTGAAAGAAAATTCAAAACTAAATTGTTGCGGTTTGACATTCAAATGAACGTCGTTAACCAGTTCAACAGAGATTCCATGAACGTGGCAATGCTTGGATTTGGTTACTGATTGGCATTCAATGTATGTGTGTGTGTCGGTGTGTGCATCAACGTTTTTCAAAATATGTATGAAAGTGTTAGCATAGCGTATGCACGAAAACCTAAGTGACTGTCTAAGTTTATGCTAATACAATGTGAATTGTATATATGTATGTCTCTCTGTGTGTGTTTCTGTTGAAAGGTAGAGTGGAAAAGTGACAAAATGAAATTTTCAACAATCTTGCTAAAATATTTCCCACAAAGACACAAAATTTGAATACACAGGCAGGCATACATAAAAGTGTTGTGGTTTTTGAGTGTATGTGTGTGTGTGTAACACCTACACACATAAACTGTCTTGAAAGATTTCCCGACAGTCTCATCACTTGTTAAATTTTCCGCCAAGCTCAGACCGACAGCCACACAAAACGCCACAAAAAGCAAAACACAACATAAAACATTTGATTAATGTTCCTTAAAGAGATTTTCCGAACGTAAATATTGCGTTTTCTGTGTGCATTGAGATATTTTAGTCCTTGAATACGAATTGTTGGGGAATTTTGAATTTCAGATTGTGTAGGGGTGTTTGTGAAACCATATTTCTTTCAATGTTCTAACCACAAAATTTATTTGCCACGGTTACAAAGAACCCAAATCAAATGAAAGAATATGTTGGCAGGATTTTAAATGTTGAGTAAGGTTTGCTTTGGTTGTTTTGAGTGTGTCATTGGAGTTGCATTTTGAGAGGATAAGGACGATGAGGTTTCTTGAACCCTACAGCACACTGTGGTACAGAGTATATTACATGTGTGTGTATATATTCTTAAAAAAATAATAAAGCGCCTTGCAAGGATTTATTTAAAGAAAGCTATGCCTTCTTAGGTCATTTAAAAACATTTTAAAATCTGCGCCTAATTATAACTTCAAAAAAAAAAAAAAAAAAAAATTAATTGCTAGATTATTTTAAAAAATCGACGACTATTCATTTTTAGGCCCTTAAAAAATATCTTTAAAAAATTTAAGGCTTTCAAAAATAATTGGTTATCATATATATGAATAACCCGTTGATCTGCCCACAATTTACGCCCCTTAATCATCCTTCAAGCAAGCATCTCCTACATTAACTAAGCAAATTTCTCCTGCACGTTTTGTGGCTATCGACCATATTTTGAGTCCTTGGTGCATGATATAATTAAAATCCGATGAAAAAATATATAGGAGCTATATACAAATCTGAACAGATTTGCACGAAACTTGCCACACGTTAGGCTTTAATGTCTTTAGTGGGTTGTGCACAATTTTGTGCCTATCGGATTTACTTTAGGTCCTTGGTGCATTATTTACTTAAAATCGGACGAAAATATAGCTCCCATATATCACGTTCAACTACACAAACGTCAGTACATTGTGCAAAATTTTGTGACAATCGGCTAAACTTTGAGCCTTTGTTGCACCATTAACGTGTGGTTGCCTTGGCATCTGTAGTCGATGGTATAACTACACCCGAGGAACAAGAATAACAAAAAAATGCAGACAAGATTCAGGGAGAAATAAGTATGGAGGAAAACTTGGATCTGTTTTCAATAGCGGGAAGAATAATATCGACCCAACATTTGGAGAACTCAAATTACGAGTCGAAAAAAAACAAAGGTAAACACAACATAACTGTCATAAAATGTCGAAGAAGTGAATGAACAATAAGATAGTGGAAGAATTGAATAAACATATTGCCAAAATCCAGAAAAAAATTGTCTGTGGTGCTAACTCGAAAGGACGAACCTATGAAGTAACAGCGCACAGCAGGATTGAGACTTAATTCTCTTCGTCATTTCCGAGGTCCTTCCATTTCCTTGGAAGCAGCGAAGAGGGTTAAGTCTCCGGGAGACCAGAGGAATGCAAAAATCGCGAAGAAGAAATTCTCTTTTTGTGGTGGGATACAGCGATACAGCTAAAATCAAAGAAGGACACCACTTATTGGTACCGCTCTAGAATAATTGAAATTTCGTGTTTTCATGCTGGTTTAAATACTAATTCAAAAAAGTATCAATATATGTCCATGTTATGCCTTTGTGCATATTTTAATACCCTTCACCACTCTGTGGTACAGGGTATTATATCTTTGTGCATATTTTTGTAACAAACAAAAGGAAACGAGATAGACACATGGTTGCTTTTGAGAATATGTACGGAATCACTTTCTGAGTCGATTTACGCATGTCTGTCTGTCTGTCCGTCTGTCCGTCTGTCCATGTTAAATTGTAAACAACGTACAGGTTGCATTTATTATCCGAATTGGATGAAATTTGGCATAGGTCACTTCTTTGGCCCATGGACGAACCCTAGTGAAATTGAGAAAAATCGGTTCAGATTTAGATAAAGCTCTCATACATAGTTTCGTCCGGTTTCATGTAAATGGTGCAGCAAAGTCCCCATATATCCTTCGATTTGCACGAAATTTGGCACAGCGTACTGAATTAAGCCTAGAATGATGTGTGATAAGTTTTGTGAAAATATGTTTAGATTTAGATATATCTCCCATATATATATATATATATATATATTCACCCAAAATAAGGTAAATGATGCACCAAAGTCCCTGAATATATTTCTATTTGCACGAAATTTCGCACAGTGTATTTAATTAGGCCTAGAATGATGTGTGTAAAGTTTCCTGAAAATCGGTTCGGATTTAGATATAGCTCTCATATATATTTTCGTCCGATTTAATGTAAATGGTGCACCAAATTCCCTATATATTTTTCGATTTGCACGAATTTTGGCACAGCGTTATGAATTAGGTCTAGAATAATGTGTGTTAAGTTTCCTAAAAATCGGAATAGATATAGCTTTTATATCTGACCAAATGAAAAATTTAGTATCGGTTGCAGAATGACATGTTTATGGATACAATTTCATTTTACTGGTCCTTTAAAAATGCGACGTCTATTAGGATTCATCTGTTGAATATACCCAAAGTGGTGAAGGGTATCATATAGTCGGCCCCGTCCGACTTTAGATTTTCGTTGGGTTAATAATTTCCGTACCAAAAATTATAAATGTTGGACGATGTTTCTGGGTAGCTCACAAATTGTAGGTTGTCCTTGGTCCACCTTTTGGTATAGCCCAAATATAACGGTCGCTCAAATTGTTCGTTAATTTGGGCAGGTTTTTGAGCCCGTTTCGAGTTTTTGGTTCACATTGGTTGGTATGCTCTCTCATTAAACATTATCAATGTATGACCCTGTTGTGGTGCAGTCAATTTATTATCCCCAAATTACGATATTTTGGATTTCAGATATGTTGTCAACCCAGTTGGTTCTTAGTTTATATTTTTTGTTTTCATTGGGTTGCTCATCTTTCTTTTGAAAATTATAAAAATCGGTCGATCTTTGAATATTATTTATATGGAGGTAATATTCAAAGATCGACCGATTTATTTTATAGGCACTTTTGTAGGCGAGTTTTTATGGTCCAGCTGCAGTATCCCTAATTTTTGGTATTTTGGATTTCTGACATGTTTTAAACCGTGTGTCTCTTATTTTATATTTTAAATTCTCATTGGTTGGCCCATCTATAATATAAACCAGTAAGGAAAGTAGTAAAGTCGGACGGGGCCGACTATATGATACCCTTCACCACTATGGGTATATTAAACAGGACTATTAACATAAAATTGGATGAAATAAAATATGTGATATTTATCTAAATGTGAATCTACCTAGATCTATCCATAAACATGTCATTCGTTTATTACAATGGGACAAAAGTATGTAAATCGACTTCAAAAAAATATCAAAAGGTCATCCGTTGGGCTATGTCTGTACTTCTAGAAAACGGGACTACATAATTCTATGCTCAATTATGTTCGTTGTGCAAAATTTGATGTCAATCTGACAAACCTGAGGAGTTTGATGCACTATTTACTTAAAATCCGACGAAAATATATATGGAAGCTATATCCAAATATGAACCGATTCCAACGAAACTTGTCACAGGTTAGGTTATACTAATTTTAGTACGTTTTGTTCTATCAGCAATATATTGGTTCCTTGGGGCTTCAATTACTTAAATCCATCTATAATATAAGGAACTACATCTAAATCTCAACTGATTTTAACGAAACTTGGCACACATCATTCCGGACTAAATTCGGTAAGCTATGCAAAAGTTCGTGCAAATCGAAAGATATATATCAACTTTGGTGCACCATTTACATAAAATCTGGCGGAACTATATGTGGGAGCGATATCGAAATCTGAACCAATATTCACGAAACTTGGCAGACATCACCCAAGGCTTAATTCAGTACGTTATGCCAAATTTCGTGCAAATCGAAAGATATATAGGGACTATGGTGCACCATTTACATGAAATCGGACGAAACTATATATGGGAGCTATATCTAAATCTAGACCGATTTTCTCGAAACTTGGCAGACATCACTCTAGGCTTAATTCAGTAAGTTATGCCAAATTTCGTGCAAATCGAAAGATATATAGGGACTTTGGGGCACCATTTACATGAAATCGGACGAAACTATATATGGGAGGTAT